GGCAGTTCTGGACTTTTTCCCAATGTGGGCACGTCAAGAAGTGCTATCTATTCTTTCTCAGAAGCCTCTTTTAAAAGGGTTTTTGGAGTTCAGTGAGATGATTCAATGTTTAAAGGTGCTTGACACCAAGCCTGGGACCTGAGTTTGATCTCCTAAACCCTCAAGGTAGAAGGAGAAAACATATAGTTTGAACTCTGATCTCTATGCATGGTATGGCATGTGTGTGTGTGTGTGTGTGTGTGTGAGAGAGAGAGAGAGAGAGAGAGAGAGAGAGAGAGAGAGAGAGAGAGAGAGAGAGGGAGAGGGAGAGGGAGAGGGAGAGAGGAGAAAGAGGAAGAGGAAGGGAGGGAGAAGATGGGAGGGAAGGAGAGAGAGAGAGAAGGAGAGAGGGGAAAAGAGGGAGGGAGGGAGAGAGAGTGATGTTGGAGACTAATCCTAATTCTTACATGTTAGACCCATCACTTTGCTATTGGGATATACCCTTCTTTTTTTCTTTTTTCTTTTTTTTTTAATTTTAAGAGGCAGGGCGTGCTAGCATCTGACTTAAATCCCAGCACTCTGGAGGCAGAGGCAGGCAGATCTGTATGAGTCGAAGTCTTGCCTGGTGTACACAGTGAGTCTCAGGGACAGCCAGGGCTATATAATGAGACATAACCCTTAAAAAAAAAAAGATTAAATTTGTAAAAAGACAAAAGTTCAACGGAGCTGGGTGTGGTGCTGCAAACTGGTGTAACCCTAGTGTCTGGAAGTTAAACACACACACACACACACACACACACACACACGCACACACACACACACCTCTGCAAATAAATTCCAAAAAATAAAACACTGCTTTAAGCCAAGGTTACCATATACATCTAATCCCAGCGCTTGAGAGGCCAAGACAAGAAGATCTCAAACGTGGGCTGCAGAGAAAGACCCTGTTTCATAAAAGTATCTAAGCATGGTGTCTTTTTAGTTTATTTTCTTATTCATGTGATTAAATACTCTGACAAAAAAAAACTGAAGAGAGAAAAGGTTTATTTTAGTTCACAATTCAAGGCACAGTTCATCGCGGAAGTTAAATTAAGGCAGCAAGAACTTGAAAGAATTGGTCGTCTCAGCAGTGGGGAACCAGTGTGAACAGGAGGGAGAGACGGGGAGAGAGGAAAGGGGAGGGGAGGGGAGGGG